CCCTGCCCTCTAGGACTTCAGGGTGAAGTGGGGTTCCTCGTGGGGGGGTCCCTCCAGGGGCTCAGGATGAAGTGGAGGGGCAGACAAGAACCCCACGTGTGAACGAACGGGGTCCACTATATGGTGGGCAAGGGAAGAGGCCCGCTAGAATACGCTCTGTGTCCCCCGGGGCCCCGGAGTTCCACCCCGACCTCTCTCCTGCCTCGCTGCCCCACAGGTCTGGGACAAGATGGTGTCCATGGTGGTGCCGAGGCTGGTGGTATCTCTGATGCTGCTCCTCAGGGTCCTGCCCGCGGTGGCCTACTCCGTGCCCCTGCACGCTGCCTTCCTGGAGGACACAGGGGGCAGCGGGGAGGCCGAGGGCTCATCGGCCTCCTCCCCAAGCCTCCCGCCGCCCCGGACCCCGGCCCTCAGTCCCACATCGGTGGGGCCCCAGCCCACGCCCCTGGCAGGCCCCAAGCCCCCCACCAACTTCCTGGACGGGATCGTGGACTTCTTCCGCCAGTACGTGATGCTCATCGCCGTGGTGGGCTCCCTGGTGTTCCTGCTGATGTTCATCGTCTGCGCCGCGCTCATCACCCGCCAGAAGCACAAGGCCTCGGCCTACTACCCCTCGTCTTTCCCCAAGAAGAAGTACGTGGACCAGAGTGACCGGGCCGGGGGGCCCCGGACCTTCAGCGAGGTCCCCGACCGGGCTCCCGACGGCCGGCCCGAGGAGGCCCTGGATTCCTCCCAGCAGCTCCAGGCTGACATCCTCGCTGCCACCCAGAACCTCAAGTCCCCCGCCAGAGCCGCCCCGGGCAGCGGAGATGGAGCCAGGATGGAGGGCAAGTCAGAGGGAGAGGAGAGCGGCGGCCGGGAGGCGGACCAGGAGGCCCAGGGATGTGGGAGCCCAGCGGGGAAACCAGGGGTGCTGGAGGAGCTGGGCACAGCGGTGGCGGAGGGGGCCCTGGAGGCCGGCCAAGGCCAAGGTGAGCCGGAAGCGGCTCCTTTGTTAGCCCAGGAAGCCAGGGGAGCCGCTGGTCCCCCCGAGAGCCCCTGTGCTTGCAGTGTCGTCCCCAAGGTCTAACAGGCCTCTGGGGCTGCTGGCCCCGACTGTCGGACTCCTCGTGGTCACCTCCATGGGTGTGGAAAGGCCCTTGACCCTTACTGCTCCCCGACACCCCCTCCTTGGCCACCCCCTGCTGCAGGCAGAGATGCTGGTCTCCAGCGTACCCCAGGAATCTCCCCGGGTCCCAGGACCATTTGCCCCTGCGGCCCCAAACACAACGTCTCTGGGGAGGGGGGGATGGGAAGGATCCCCACTATATTCATGATACCATATCCCACGAAATCAGCCCCGTCACTTGGGCAGACATGCCACGGTCCCCCGGGATGGTGCCAACATTGCCGCTTTTCCATGGAAGTAGGGAAGACAAGTCAGAGTAACTAGGAGTTTGGGATGAGGGTGACTGGGACCTGCCGAGGCCCCCCCAGCCCCCCCTCCCCACCCGGGCGGGAGCAGTTAAAGCTACTGCAGAAGTGGGTCTGGGGAGTCAGGAAGCTTCCGAGAGGCCCGTGCACACATCATGACGGATCCCTACGTCAGCATGTCCAAGGCTGGGTTCCCCGAGCTACTCTGTGGAAAAAGGATTTTGGGGGCCAGTGAGTTGAGGAGACACTGCCTCTCCACTCCCTGCAACCCCCCCTTAGAGCACCCCAGGGCTCTGCAAATACTCTAGTAGAAGCCCCTGTGGAATCTGGTTTTGCTTGTTTTTTTTTTTTTTTTTTTTTTTTTTTACAGCTACAGAATAAAATCTTGCAGAGCACACTCTGGAAATTACTGCCCCAAATGTTCCTGAAGGTGCCCCCCAGTTTGTGGTTGCTCTGGGGTTAGGGCTGTGGGGTCCGGGGGCTCAGGCCCGCTCAAGTTCTGCCAAGCATCTCTGCCTGGGGATGAATTTCTCATCCCGTTACTGCTATGGGCATGGGGTGAATGAATCGAACCTTTCTTGTCAGGCCCCCAAAGCTGCCCAGAAGCTGGGGGGGGCAGTGTGTGAAGGGGGTCCCACTCTGGGGGGATTCTGAAGGGGTAGGGGAAGGTTTCTAACACCCAGCCTGGAGCAGGGGGGCCCTAGCCCCCGACCCTTTGCTTACATGCGTGTCTGGTAGCCTGAGCTCACAGAATTCTTTAGCCTTCGACAAGGGAGCCTGAGCTCCGTCCTGATTTGGGGAGGCTCTGGGTGGGGGGCGGTCCTCTTCCTCATCCCTCCGTCTGGGCTTCCCCCAACCTCTGCACAATTTTTTAGGTGCTGAGATATAGCAAACCAGCACAATAAACCTTTATTCTGGCCTGAGCGTCGCTGCTTTTCTGAGGGGGAATGAGTCTGCTTGGGGGGGGGTGGTATTTCTTCTGGGCTGTTCCATGGGGTGGGGCAGCTTTCTGGGGGAGACACATCAGGCAGGCCCGAAAAGCTGAATGAGATGAGGCAGAATGAGATGATTCGTGAAAAGAGGGCAGAACGGGGTCCCCCATGGGAATGTGGCGGGAGCTCTTGCCCCCAAGGCTGAGCTCAGCCCTGGACTTGCGGCCACGGAGACCCGGCTTCCAAGAGCAGTTCTGCTGTGCACTGTGGCTGCAGGAGATCCACCCGCCTCCCTCTCCGGGAAACATGAGCCCAGTCTCCCGTTTCAGCCTCCCGTCTGCTGGCAGCGTGGCCGAGGACTAGAACCGGGCTCACGGACGGTGCCCCGCTCCTGGCACCCTTGGCCTGGGGTTGGAGGCGGCCCTGGCCTTTGTGTCTTCGCCCCGCCAGGCTCTTCCTTGCCTTTGATGGCAAGTTCCTGGGGGCCACTGCTCCCCCTCCTCCCTGGAGCTGCCAGCTGGAATCCAGATGTGGCTGCGTTGGGAGCACGTGCTAGATCCCTGGGTGAGGGGGGCAGGGAGGCCATCCCCCCACCCCCAGCCCCTCCCTCCGCTGACCCCACTTCCCTTCCAAAGGGGGCCGGCTTTGGGTTTCATAACACACAATGGCCTCTGTCTCTCGCAGCGGGGAAGGGCCCTCCCTTTCTCAGCCCAGACCCGCTCCCGCCCAAGAATGTAGGGAAAATCCAATATGGATACCTGAATGCTGTGTGGCTCTGGCCAAACCACTCAACCTCTCTGTGTATGACAAGCTGTCTTCTAGATCCTGAGCTCCTGCAGGGTCCTAGATGATTGGGTGTGGCTGGGGTACGCATTAAGCTTCCCTATAACAGGTTAAACTCAGGTAAGACAGAAGCAGATGTTAGAGATTCCTGGGGAGGAGGCAGGGATGACTTTTGCAATCAGCAGCTCCCTGGTCAATGGCTCCCCATTAATGGGCCTGCCAGAGGACATGAGGTGAGCGGCCTTAGTTATGGCCTGTGTCCCTCGGGACTGATGGGGTTGGGGACTCAGGAGGTAGTTGGAGCCCAGAGCAGGCATCAACCTCCCCCTCACCTTTGAGCTTTAACAGCTACTATTCCCTCTGCCTAGGATGCCCTTCCACACCCCCTCCTTGTCCAGTTAACTCCCCCTCCTCCTTTAGCTTCCAGCCTAGCTGTCACCTGCCCTCCCCAACAGCCCCACCCAGACTCTCTCCCACACTCCCCTGGGCTCAATACTATTAATAATTGCTCGCAGCTAATGAGCACCTGTGACGCACCAGGCACTGCTCTAAGCCCTGAACATCATTTACTCATTGAGACTCCCAACCCGAGCAGAGGGATCCTGCTGTTATTCCCATGTCTCAGAGGGGAAATCAGTTGCCTAGGTCACAGAGCCAGCATCCCCGCCCCATCATCTGATTCTAGAGTGACTTCTCCCTCGGGCTCGACAGCTGCTTGCATGAATGAATGCGTGAATGAAGCCCTTGGGGAGGAGAGAGCAGGGCCCCACTCCTGCTTAGAGCCCCTCTAGGGTGGACACACATCTGGCCAGGCACCAGCGGAGGGTGAGCTTTGGGGGGAGATGGGCTGGGGGTACGTGTGGGCTGGGGCCAGGTGAGGGGGAGACCTGGGCTGGAGGGTGGGGGTGTGGGGGGGTCCGCGGGGTGCTGGAGGGACCTCTTCCGCGTGCCCTTTCTCTGATCAGCCCAAGGGGCTGGGTGTTTGCTGGCTGGGGGTCACATCCAAGGCAGGAGGACGAGGGGCAGAACTCATGTCTCCAGGGAGCTCTGCACTAGGCACATGGTCTTGCACCCTCTTGGGGTGGTTCGGGTAGTTTGGGCCCTGGGGGGAGACTGCCTTTGTCAATGCCCGCTCTACCATTTCGTAGCTGTGTGGCCTTGGGCAAATGTCCTCACTTCTCTGGGCTTTCGTTTCCATGTGCATAAAGAGATGATCCTACCCTACCTGGCAGGGGTCTCAACCTGCACACTGGGATTGTCTGAGAGCTTTGTTATGTCGTACCTCCTGGGCTCCACCCAGACCATTTATTTATTTATTTATTTATTTAAATAATCTCCCCGGGTTCGAACTCACGCCCCCAAGATCAAGAGTCGCATGCTCTACCGACCAAGTTAGCCAGGTGCCCCCCTCCCCCCAAGGCCGATTAAATCAGAGTGTCCAAGGGTACGGCTGGGCAACGGTCACTGCCTGGGGGGCTGTTCACCACTGTCCCCCTGGCACGGGGCACGGTGCCAGGTACTGAGGACGCACCATTGGCACAACAGATCTGAAGCTGTATTTGAGTGGAGGAGACGAAAACGAATCAAAGAATCATCTAGATGCAACCACAGTGATTAATAACAGGAATGGCCGCCATATATAAATGCACTATTATACATGTCTGGTGCTTTACTGATGTTAGTTTTTACGGCTTTATGGAGGTATAATTGGCACACAATAACTACACATATTTAAAACGGCAATTTGATAATTTGGGCATACGAGTATACTCATGAAGCCATCGCCAAAGTCAAGATAATGGACATGTCCGTCACCTCTAACCGTTTCTTCGCACCTCTTTGCAATCTCTGCTGGCTGTTTCCCCCCCACCTCAGTCCCTAGACCACTACTGACCTGCTCTCTGTCCCTACGACTCATTTTTATCTTCTGGAATTTTATATAAATGGAACCATATAGTGTACTCTTTTTATCTGGCTTTTTGCATGCAGCACGAATGTTCTGAGATTTATTCATGTTATTGTACGTATTAACATTTCACTGCTTTTTACTGCTGAGTAGTATTCCCTTGTATGGATGTACTGAAATTTGTTTATCCATTCACCTGCTGATGGACGTTTGGGTGGTTTTCCAGCTTGTGGCTATTATAAATAAAGCTGCTTGGAATTACTGATGTTTGTTTATTTTATCCTTCCAACCTTCTTAATGAGATGGTCATTATTTGTCCCCATTTTACAGATGAAAACAACAGACTCAGAGAGGTCAAGTAACTTGTCTAAGGTCACACAGCCAGGAGTGGGAGCATTGAACCTTAAAGTGGGAATGTTTGAGCTCAGTTACTGTAGGGAACTTGTGAAGCTCAGAGGGTCTCAGAAATCCTGCTCTAGACCAGCCCCCCCCATTTCATATGTGGACATCCAAGGAGCATACTGGGACTGGGGCCCATCCAGAGCTGACCAGGAATCCGGGTCTCTGGTGGGCGGTCTTGTGCTGTGTCTAGCTCTGCTCTGCTTCAGCTCTAGCTCCTCATCTGCTGTTGGGGAAGAAGCAGGCCCATGTGGAGTGGGACAGGGATTTGTCATTTTTTTTTCGGGCGGTTTTAATTTCAGGATTCCTCCGGCTGCTCAGAAATGGCAGGAAGGATTTGGCACTGGCTCCGGGGCCCCACGGGGGTTCCCCCGCAGCTGCTCCTCCTCCCCAAATGGGTCCAGGGTTTACAGCGGCAGCTGCAAAGTATAAAATAGTCCTGCTCGTAAATCCGCTCTTGCCAGGGTCCCTAATGCCAGAGGCCTCTGCAGTGCCCAGCGCGGGCATCCTGCCACCCACTGGGGCCCCACAGGGACACCTGGGGTGCCCTGGAAGGCTGGAGGGTCCAGGTCTGTGGGTGGCCACCTGCAGCCTCTGCCATAGGGTTTGGGGAACCAGACTCAGCGAGGGGGTCTGCAGGGGGGAAGGGGGACTGAGATTGTACAGGGGTGGAGGATTGGGGACAGCAAGGAGAGGGAGAGATAGTGGGACACAGAAATAAGGAACCAGGAGACCCTCCTAGCTGCATGACTTTGGGCAAGTCACTTTGAACTACAGGCTCTTCACGTATAAAGTCCTGGGACCACAGCCCTTGCCCTGTCTGCCCCCACCCCCCAGAATGCTGTGAGTGCACTTTATAATGTGTAGGATGGCGGGGCGTGGTGGTTAGGGGTACAGGCTTCACACGGCCTGGGTTGAAATCTCAACTCGGCCACTACCCGGCTGTGTGAACTTGGGCAAGTCACTTCACCTCTCTGGGCCTGAGTTTCCTTGTCTGTGAAATGGGAATAATGGCTCCTACGTCAGAGAGGCGGTGGAAGGTGAGTTCATTCACTTCCAGTGCTTAGAACAGGCCCCCCCATGGGTGCTCAGTAAATGGGAGCTGCTGTTAGCTACAAACTGTGAAGTGCTGTGCCCGAAGAAAAGGGGGAAATGTCAGTCTCCAAGTGTCTCGCTGTTCTGAGTGTCACCTCTTCTTTCCAGATCATAAGGTCAGTGATTCTTAGACGCTTGAAACTTCAGCGTCATCACATCTTGTCTTGGGGGCGGGGCAGGGCAGAGGGTCCTGGCAATGTTGGCAAAAGCAGAACAAGGCCAGCAGCCAGGGAAGTCCCGTGAACCCCAAGGAAGGGGTGAAGGATGGGGCTAGAGAGAAGAGAGGCTCGCGCTGCCCTTTGGGCAAAGACCAACCCCCAACCCCGCGTGCCCCTCTGTGGGGGTTTGGTGCCTGATGGGGGCCAGGGGTCCCATGGAAGCTGTTCCCTGTCTCCCTCTGAGGTGCAGTGACCCCAGTTAGAACTTAGACATTGTCCGGGCGAGTGTGCATGGAGTGTGCATGGCTGACAACGTGGGTCAGGGAGCCCAGGGACTCAGGCCCATCTGGGGCAGGTGCCAGGGCTATTTCTGGGGAGTGGGAAAGGTTGGGGGGGTACCCAGCTAGATTAGTTGCCAGGTGACCTAGAATATCTCCGCTCCCCTCTCTGTTGGGTTCCCATCTATGAAACAAGCCAAATACTTCTCAGCACTGACTCTGGGCAGGAGACTCCTTCAGGCTCGGGGAAAGGATGTAAGGTATCTGCATTCTAAAAGACTTGGAGTCAAATCTGAGTTCAATTCCACTTCCAAGCTGTGTGACCTTGGGCAGCTTCTGCCCCCCTTTTGGTGCCTCAGCGTCTCACCTGTGAAAGCTCAGGTCCTGCCCTGTTGTGAGACTCAGATGAGAAAACGCTCCTCGAGCTCGGGGCCCCGGGGCCCAGTGTGGAGAAAGGGCTCCCTTTCTGTTAGCCTTTCTGATGATCTTTGTCGCTCCTACTGCCAGGAAGCAGCGAAGAGGATGCTGCCGGCCGTTCTGATCTCTGACATTCTGTGGCTTCCCTGCCCAGCACTGCGGGTCAGAGCCCAGACAGAGCTGGGTACCCAGTAGGTGTTCAATGAATGCTGAGTAAGGAGTGCTGAGTTCCCTTCGAGTCGCTCCTTGATTGGGGAGCAGAGAGGAAGGGTGACACTGGGAGGTAGGACATCTCTGCACCCACCCTGGGGAGGGTTGAGATGAGGCTCTCTGAAAACCCCCCTCAGCCCCCAATCTCCTATTTCTGTCCTTGGTCAATGTTTAAATCCCACTGTCAGGTCCAGTTTCCATCACTTTTTGAGAACCTACTGTGTAGCGGGCACAGCACTAAGCACTCTCTATACACCGGGTCCTCGCAAAGCTGAGGGAGGCACAGATACCCACCTTCTATGGAGGAAGACAGGGACGCTCGGAGAGGTAAAGCGATTTGCCCAAGTTCACACAGCCAGAAAGTGTCTGAGCGGGGCTTTGAACCTCCTGAGGCTTTTGGACCTCATGGCCAATGCTCTGCCTGCAATCCTGTTCCCGAATGAATGAATGAATGAATGGGTGAGTGCATGAATGCAGGAAACGGGGTTGGAGCAGAGGCCCAAGGCCAAGGCGCCCACACTTCCACGTGGCCCTGCAGCTCAGCTGGGGCCGAAGGTGTCAGCACAGTGGCCGGGTGCCGCAGGGGGGCGCCCGTGGTCTGGCGGCGGAAAGGGGGCAAAAGGCCTCGGACCACAGCCCCCAGCCCGCCCCCGGCCCTCCGGGCTCACAGAGGGCGCACGCTCCCGCTCGCTGGCGCTGGCGGAGCTGGTATCTGAGCTCCTGGCAGCCGCACTGGGCAGGCGCCTTTGTTCCCACGGTCCTGAGTGCGCCGTGGGGGGCCGGCCCGAGGTCACATGGCAGGTGAAGAAGCAGACAGACGGCCCTTGGGACCCCGGCGCCCTTGGTCCTGCCCAGGATGCTGCATGTGTGGGGATTCTGAGAGTCCACCGGGTCTGGAGGTCAAGCCCACAGCCCTGGGGCTCTCCGGAGACGTGAACTTGCAGGTGGGAAGCCCTGGGCAGGCACTGGCTCTGGGTCTGGTGCCCCGGGGGTTGGGGGGGTGGGGGTCCAGCTCTACTCCTTCCGGGGCTGTGCTGCCTGGGGCAAGTCGCTTGCCCTCCCTGGGCCACAGCCGAGTCTCTGGCAAAGGGAAGAAGGAGGCTTGCTCTGGATTTCAACCAGCTGGTGGGCTCCCAACGCTGCGATCCTGTGGGAGGCGTTATTGTCAGCACCTGGGGGAAAGCGCTGCAGGATGCCATTTCCCCCAAGTACGAAGAACCACTCAGTTCTTGGACAAGAAGGTCTTGGGAGAACCTGGCTTCCTCCCCCGCCGCCCCCTTTAATCCTTCCCAGGGAGCTCAAACTGCCCTCTCTCCCCATTTTAAGAGACCCCTAGAGGAATTCATTGGGCACCTTGGGTTGCCTCCAGCATCTGCGAACGCCTCCCTACTGAAGTCCTTTCTTCTATCACACCTAAGTTAACAGGCTGGGCCCGAGGGCCAGTTTCCCCCGCTGCCTGGCCTGCAGCAGAGCTCTGGCTGGAAGGATGGGGCCAGCTATTGGGGAGCCAGTTAGAAACACTTTTGAATTCTTTCCCATGACCTCTCCTAAGATAAGAACTTCTTGTCTTTGTCCAGATTTGATCTTCGCACGGTCTGGGTTTCAGCAGACCGGAGTGAAGATGAACGACCCTCTTGGAGGGTCAGATGGCTGCATTGACCAATGTTGTACGTGTCCTTGCCCTTCACGCCAGAAGTTTTTTTCCGGAGCCAGCCTATGCGTGGATCTTTGAGGATGTTCATGCCGGCGTCATTTATAAGTGAAAAAAAAGGGAGGCTGTCTATATACCCAGCAGTGATGCAGTGGTAGATGGTGCTCCTGCCAAGTGAGAGGGTATTCAGAGAGAATTTGCTTTGGGTTGGTGCGGGGGAGGGGGCAAGGGCCTGGAACATGGTGGGGGTGGGTGTCAGTCTTGACATAGTCAATATTTCCCAATTGGCTTTTCACGTAAATGATTTCATTTGAAAAATCGCTATGGAGTCGCTTTGATCAGCTTCCTTTAGCCGATAAGAAAACCATCCCTGCTTGGCGAATTGTTGGTGAAAGTGAGCTGATGGGTCCAAGGTCACACTTGTGGTTTGTGGTCCACCTTACGTGAAGGGAGAGAGCTCTGAGTTCCGGGGAGCAGCCCTGGCGTGATGGACCTACATAAGCAAGTCACTTTTTTGAGGTGTGAGCCCAGATTTCCGCTCACCTGGCCTTTGTGTGTCCCCAGAATGGAGCCAGTTTGGGGCTCCTCCGGGTAGATGTGGGGGCCACAGCAGGCCCTGGGCAAGCTCATGAGGGGCGGTCACAGATGGCAGAGCTGGGTGGCCCTGTGTCCTCACACATTTCCCAGGAGGTCCTGCATGTGCCTGTCTTTGCAGATGCATGGAGCACTCCTGCCGGTAGGTCCTTCCGGTGGGATTGCCGGGTCAGAGGTACATGCATCACCTTTTCACAGGTGCTGCCAAATGACCGGTCCAAAATGCAGCGCCAGTTTCCATTCCCATCTGGGTCTAGGAGTGCCCCCACTTCCCCACATCCTTGACAACACTGCTGGCGTTCAGTGTTTTCCTGATCTGATAGGTGAGAAATGGTATTCCATTGTCCGGTTAGGTACGGCTGTCTGATTGCTGATGAGAAAGGGGCTTCTCCTTACAGAGTTCTGTGCCCATGAATTACCTGGTTCTGTCCTTAGTCCCCGCTTGTATTGACTGTGTATCTGCTGATTTTCAACTCTTTCGAGCCACAGAATCCTTTGTTCTAATAAACTCTCACCAGGAATCTTAACAGAAGTTGAATAAAAGAAGAGCTGCATTTTGGAAGGGGGATGGGCTACCCAGAGGGCACCTGTTTGCCTCCCTTTGCACCCTGCAGGGGCCCCTAGTGCTCAGGGGAGTGTCATTTGCAAACAGTCGGTACAGTCCCACCACTCAAGCTACAAATGGGGAAACTGAGACCCACAGTTAGCCAGAAAGGTAATGGCTGAGGCAGGTCTCCAGCCCAGGTCCCCTGACTGTCATCAATATTGACTGGTAGAGGTGGAGGGGATGGTGACAGAGGTGGTCATGATGGTAGAGGTAGAGGTGGCGATGGTGGCAGAGGTGGTGGAGTGATGGTAGAGGAAGAGATGGATGTGGAGGTGATGGTAGAGGTGGAGATGATGGTGGTAGAGGAAGTGGGGGTGGTGGTGGAGGTGTTGGTAAAGGAGGTGGTGGTTGAGGAGGTGAAGGTGGTGGTGATGATGGTGGAGGTGATGGTTAAGGAGGTGGAGGTGATGGTGGTGATGGTGGAGGCAGTGGTAGACGTGGAGGTGATGATGGAGGTGATGGTGGAGGAGGTAGTGGTTGAGGAGGTAGAGGTGATGGTGATGGTGGATGTGATGGTGGTAGTGGTAATGGTAGAGGAGATGATGGTTGAGGAGTTAGAGGTGATGGTGGTGATGATGGAGGCAGTGGTAGAGGTGGAGGTGATGATGGAGGTGATGGTGATGTGTGGAGGAGGTGATGGTGGAGGAGGTGATGGTTGAGGAGGTAGAGGTGATGGTGGTGATGGTGGAGGCAGTGGTAGAGGTGGAGGTGATGATGATGGAGGTGATGGTGGAGGAGCTGATGGTGAGGAGGTAGAGGTGATGGTGATGATGGTGGATGTGATGGTGGTAGTGGTGATGGTGGAGGAGGTGATGGTTGAGAAGGTAGAGGTGATGGTGGGGATGGTAGAGGCGGTGGTAGAGGTGGTGGCGATGATGGTGGAGGTGATGGTGGAGGAGGTGATGGTTGAGAAGGTAGAGGTGATGGTGGGGATGGTAGAGGCGGTGGTAGAGGTGGTGGTGATGATGGTGGAGGTGATGGTGGAGGAGGTGGTGGTGGTGGACATCCTTGCCTGGTGACTGATCTTAATGATAGTGCTTCCAAAGTTTTCCAGTGGGCAAATGGTTTGCTGTTAGTTTTCTGGTAAATATCCTTTTTCAAGTTAAGGAAATTCCTTTCTATTCTTAGATTGCCAAGATTTTGTGTCGCAAGTGGGTACTGAAGTTTATTAAATGTTTTCCAGTATCAGCTGAGATGAGACAAGTCCTTTTTCTCACTGTGGGGAACTGGAGGCAAACATCACTGGGGCCATCTGAATGGGCTGGGTTTGTCTCGGGCAGGGAGCCTCCCTGCGCCCTGTCCGCCTTCCTGGTCTCTCCTTTCTTCTTCCCTAAAACACAGACGCTTTTCAAGGCCTGAGGAGGGTGAGGCATCAGAATAGAAATGATTTCCCCATGCTGGGTCAGCGCTTTCTGCCTGCCTGACTTCGGCTCCTGTTTCCTGTCCTAATCCCGGCGGGGGGAGCAGTTCCCCCCAGCTTGTTCCAGACATAGCCCGAGACATTCTGAGGTTGCGTTAAAATGTTGGTGGCAGACAGACGGGGGGCATCTTGAAGCCTTGCATTCCTCTCCAGGATACCAGAAGAGGGGTGGGGGGAGGTGGAGTGGGTATGTGGTGGGGGAGGAATTTTTCTTGGGGGGGGTTGATTCAGGGTGTGGGGAGAAGGGCTGGTTGCTAGGCGAAATCGGCAGAGATGAATCATGTTCTGGCATGAGTTGGTTATTGGCTAAAATAGAAGTTGTCCAAGTTTGTGGAATCTTTTTGTTTGAGCTGGAAGGGAATATGGAATCATTGGGCTCAATCTCCTCCTTTTGCAGAGAAACTGCAAATACAGAGCAGGAGAAAGATTTGCCCAGGGATTGAGAATGGGTCTCTTTTGCCTCCCACCTTTTTCAGGACTCGTGGCCAAAACGGGCCTTTGGGAGCACTTCCCGTATTGTACACAGTTACTGTTCTAGGCATCGGAGATTGACTGGTGAGTCCTCAGACATACCTTCCCTGAGCAAGGTGAATCCAGAGTGCTGTGTATGGTGGAGAAAATGGACAGGGTGATGAGCTAGTGAGTAGGCACGGGTTTCTACCTGAGCCAGGGTGGACAGGATGAGAATGGAGGAGGCAGCCTTGGGAAGCTCTGGGGAAGGGGGCTCTGGGCAGAGGGGCCAGCAAGTGCAAAGGCCCTGAGGTGGGAATGAACTTGGTGAGTCTGAGGGATGGCAGGGAGGCCACTGGGGCTGGAATGGGGTGAGTGGGGCAAAAGGTAGGCAGGTAGGCCTCAGGGGCCAGAGAGACGTTCAGTGACAAGCTGTTGCTTGGCATGAATCCTGACATCTCCTGCCCTGTGGTGCTTGCTAAGGGCCTGTCCTGTGGATTTAGTAAGCACCTACTGTGTGCCTGGCTGTCCTGGGCACTTTGATTGTGTGACCCCATTTTGCCCTGTAACAGCCCCTCGAAGGTTTTTTAAATCAGAGGGGCCCACACTTGCTTGTGGCCATGCAGTGTAGGCGGCCCTGACCCAGGCTCTCTCCCTGAGGCCGTCAGCTCCATCAACTTGGCCAGAAAGGGACTTGCCTGCACGAGCAGATCATCCTTTGGTTCAGCTCCCTAGAAAAAAGAGTGGGAAAGGTCAAGAGGAGACAGATTGCGGCGGCCGCCCAAGAAGGCTTGCCAGGAAGCAGGGCCATGGTGTCCTAAGCCTTTGGGGTTAGAATGGATGAGTACCCACTCGAAGGGAGATGGTCTCAGGGGCCCTGCTATTGTGGGAAAGTGAGCAGGATTCTGGGGCTGCAGGGCAACTGGGACAGTGTGAGAAGCTCCCATAAAGCTCCTTTGCCCCCAGATAGTAAACCCAACAGATGCCTGGAATTCCACCATTAATGATTTATTCATTGGTGGTAAGCCCTTGGCTCTTCTTCTTGTAATACACACATCTCCTTTGGAAAATGAGTGGGAAGATGAAGGCTTGAAACCAATATTGTGATAAATTCTAGAGATTGTAAGCGACAAGGGCCCAGATGCAACTCGGAGGGGCTACTCGATTTAGAGCTCCCCGTGGGATGGACAGGCACTTTTGTTGGGGGTACACGGCTGTCCATCTCCTCCCTCAGCCCAATCCTGCTTTCTTACCCCCCTTCCACAGGTGTTGATATCAGGAACACTCCCAAATAAATACCCTTCATGCTAAGTTCCACCTCAGAGTCAGCTTCCTGGGGAATCTGACTTGTAACAATGATGGTGAGGATGATGGGGATGGTGATGATGAGGGGGATGGTGGTGATGATGAGGATGGTGGTGATGATGAGGATGGTGGTGATGATGGGGATGACAAAGATGGTGGTAGCGATGATGGGGATCATGGTGATGATGATGGGGATGGTGGTGATGTTGAAGGGGATGATGGTGATGCTGATGATGACCATGGTGGTGGCGGGGGTGATGGTGAAGGTGATGACAGTTAACATTTATTGAGTGCTTACTCCTTGCCTGGTTCTGTGTTTTTTTAACTTGACCGATGATAATCCATTCAATCCTCACAACAATCCTATGACTTAGGAGCCAGTTTTCTGCTGATTTTTCAGAAAGGGAAATCAAGGCTCAGAGTGGTTCAGTACCTGCTTAAGGTCACATGCAGGGATCATGGCAGAGCTAGGATCAGAACCCAAGTCCCCGGGTCCCCATCCAGGGCTGCTCCCTAAGGCCCTGTTGTCCTGCCAGCGACCCAAGGCTGCGTATGGTGGGGAGGTGTTTGGGCAGAGGGGGGTCCAGCCCAATTTCCCCACTGGGGCTTCCTGCGACCCATTGGCCCGAGGTACTGGGGGCAGGATGGGAGGTCCCTGGACCTTCTTTGGCACCAGCAGCTCTAGGCCAGTAATAGTTGTCCTCACCCTGGGGGCCTTTTGGAGTTATTCTGGGAGCTGGGCTTCTCTGAGGTGAGACCAGGAGCTGGAGTTTTCCCAAGATAACTGGGCGGGGAGGGTGGTGGTGGTATCTGAGGCTGGACCTGGGGGAAAGCCATGCCTGTGGTTGGCCAAGCACGGTGGAGGGAGCTTGCCCAGCAAGCCGTGTATGACAGAAGTCACAGCTGTGTGTGTCCTGCACGGGGGCAGCCAGACGAGGGCTCTGCAGCATTTAGAAGGCCTTACTGTGAGGGCCACTGTGCTGGAAAAGACATCATAGGTTGAAAACTTCAAGGTTCTAGTATTTTAAAATGAGTGACAGTAACAGCAACGTAGAAGTAAGAGTAACTGCAATTACTACGCATAATGGTCATAATAACACCAGTGGTAACAGTAATCAGGGCAGGGGAGAGAATGCAGTAGAGAAGCAGCAAGCAGAGTGCCAGCCTTGGGATCCAACAGCCTTGGGTTCGAATCCCGCCTCTGTCACTTCCGAGCTGTGTGGTCTTGGACATGTCACTTTACCTTTTAGTTTCTTCATCTGTAAAATGGGATAATAATAGCCTTTGAGCCTTCCTGGGAGGAGTCCATGAGCTCCTCTGTATCAACACCGAGCAACTGTGCCTGGCAGGTGGTCAGGGCTGAGCTGTTGTGCGTGATCATAACCGGCACCGCGACAACGAGCTCTGTGTATCACGTGCTTTATTGCATTGTCTCTTTTAATTGTCATGTCAACTTGACTGCGTAGGTACTGTTTTCATTCCCATTTTGCAGATGAATAAGCTGAGGCTCAGGGTGCTTGAAGTCCCTTGTTCAGGGTCACCCAGTGGCAGCTGGTGTTTGAACCAACCTTTCTGATTCCAGTGCTCCCAGTTCACTCTGCTTTGCCCTGCTGGTTGCCTCCCTGTCTGGGGACAGCCTTCTCTGGGGGCCGGGGGGGCTTTTTGAGGGTTGGCTGAGAAAGCCAGCAGATAGGCCAGAAAGAGCCACTGATGAGGAATGTACTCTACATCCATCTTCTGGTTGGGGCTGGAGCTCATCTGCAGGGTCCCCCTCACTCTACCAAGACTCAGTGGGACCTAGAAGTATTCTGTCCTGCCATGAGGATGGACACAGAGCCTGCACTCCTGCCTCAAGTTCAAGGAGCCTCAGTTATCAAGAGGCACCTCTCATTTGTTTGGCATTCATTCATGAGAGAGAGAGCACCGAGCAAGGGGGAGGAGCAGAGGGAGAGGGAGCAGACTCCCCGCTGAGCAGGGAGCTTGATGTGGGGATCGATCCCAGGACCACAAGACCATGGCCTGACCTGAAGGCAGACGCTTAACCGACTGAGCCACCCAGGGGCCCCTCATTTGTTTGGCTTTTAAAGAAGACTCCAGGATAGGGACAGCTAGTTTTAACAGGACATGCTTAATGTGAGGATCTAACACTGTGCATTCTGATGTGGCCCCAAGTGGCCAAAATCTTGGAATAACATCTAGGAAAGGTTAAATTAGAGACATGGTCATAGTTATGGTGTGGTGCTTTGAACAGGGTGGGAGGGGGATAGAGGACCCCAGCAGAGTGCCAACCTACTGCTTCCTAGCTGTGTCATCTGGGGCAAGTCATTTCACCATTCTGAGCCTGTTTCTCCATCCATCCATCCATCCATTCACCTACTGTCCATCTATGTATCCATTCACCCACTAACCCACCCATCCACCCACCCATTCATCTACCCAACCATCCACTCCTGCAGTCTCCATCCATCCACCCATCCACTGATCCACCCATCCATCTATCCACTCACCCATGAATCCATCCATCCACCCACCAATCCACGCATGCATGCATGCATATATCCATCCATCCATCCATCCATCCATCCATCCATCCACTCAATAGGCATTTAGGGAGTCCCCTAATACATTAAGAACTGTACCAGATGCTGGGTCCCCTAATTAAGACATTGCCATGAAAATAATCTACACAATCATCAACAGAAAACTAAATTATGGACCTTCATACATGGAATGTTGTGCAGCTGTTAAGAATGTGGCAGGTCTATGGGAACGGATAGGGACTGGCCTTCAGAAATATGGTCAAAAGGAAAATGAACATGGCAGAAGCATGTATAGTATGTTACCGCCTGTGTAAAAAAGAAGTAAGAGAATGGTCTATTTAAACACATGTATACTCGGATTTGCCTAGAGAATTTCTGGAAGGACACCTAAGAAACGAGTATCAGAGATTGCCTCTGGGGAAGGAGACTGGGGAATTAGGGATGGCAAGGACACTTATATAGCACTCTTCCATTTCAGGTTGTTTGAATTTTTTTCTTGTAGCACGTTACCTATTTAAAACTGAAAGAAAAAAAAAAGACTCAGTGTCTGCATAATGATTTGGAAAGACAACAGAACAGCAAATTACAATGCTGTCCATACACATATGTGATTAAGAATAGGGGACTGTGAAAGCAGAGAGCGGCACCTAGCTCAGCCTGGGACAATCTAGAAGGCTTCCCAGAAGAGGTGATGCCTGAGATGAGGCTCCCAGGCTGAGTGGAGGTTAAGGGAAGACTTTTGGCAAGGGCATTCCTGGCGGAAGGAATAGCAAGGGGAAGGCCTAACGGTAGGGTTCGGCATCCTGGAGCAAATCCATCGATGTGGTAGGAAAAGTTTGGACAACTGGGAGCCATGGACAAGGTCACTTTTGTTTAGGAAGACCCCTCTGGCAGCCACGTGCAAAGTGGATCCCAACAGTGAGACTGGAGGCAGGGAGACTAGTGGGGAAGCCGGGAGAGAAGAGGAAGGTCTAAACTGAGGCAGACGCTGAGGGTCAGAGAGGAAGGGACTCAGGAGCTCTTTTGTAGATGGGAAGTGACACCTCCTCACAGGACCGTGCACAGCCACTGAAATCATTTTAGCGAATTGATTTGCAGAGTGCACCGTGGTCTCACCCATGGGTGCACACTGGAAGCTCCTGGGGAGCTTTAAAAACACCAGTGCCCAGGCCCCACCTCCAGGACATGAGATTTAATGAGGCGCCGGGGTTAAACTGGGCTCCCAGACGACTCTGATGTGCAGCCAGGTCAGGGCCATGATGCTTGGTGGTGAGGTGGTCAAATGAATGGATTGGGGCTCATCCTGTGTTGGTGTATCATCTCCATGTGAAGGCTCAGGGCTCAGGTGAGCCTCCGATGTGTGGCCGGTCAGAATCTTTGGTGTGTTCTCCCAAAAGCAAACCAGGAAGGAGAAGTGTGGGCTTTGGCTTGAGTTGGTTTAAATAATGTCCACCTCAGAGGGTTGTCACAAGAAGGAACAGAATACTAATGTTAAGGGCCTGGCACGGGGCTTGGGTGCGGGATACTCTTGAAACTTCTACATCCATATCTCTCTGCCGAAGTTTGACTCAGAGGTGCTCAGATCTACTTTAAGCTCATTGAAGGGTACACGATGCCCTCGTGTGGTTAAAACTAGATTTGTCTGGGCAAAGCGGGGAGAGGGGGAGATCTTGAATGTAAGTCACAAAAATTCGTTTCTTTTAGCTGCACAACCACGTATTTTGAGCTTTGGACTGTTCTGGTAATGTTGCCTGAGCTGTTTGTGAGCAGCCTGTGATGTGCAGAATTCTGGTTCAACCCTCAAGAGGCAGAGGTCTCATTTTTTAAATTACAAAGAAAAGCAGTGGGGGAATTGCAGTGTTGCCATATATAATGAAGACGGGAAAGAGACCAGCTTAGCCTAGAGGGATTGTGAATTAAATAGTAGAATGTGCCACACAGGACAATTTGACGTGACTCCACCCAGAGGCCCTAATTGGAGATTCTTATGAGGCCGTTCTGTGGCCCTCTCCACAGGCTATTGAGGGAATTGCCTTTGAAGTTCTGGACTCAGGACTTCTCCAGGACTCAGAGAACTTTTTGTTTTTTCTTTCTTTTTTCTTTAACAAAGGAGACATATTTAAGAGAAGAGACAGCCAGCCCATGCCTGGACAAAAAACCACCATCGGAAAACACACATCTTACTTTTGAAGAGTTGGAAGATTTGAGATGGTTAGCTGGTACTTTAAGATCATGTTTTTGCTAGAAAATTGGGCCTCCTTTAGTGGGATTTTGGCTGATGCAGGACTGTGGGTACCTCGCAGAATGATACCCACAACCCTGGGGGACAGATGGGGGTCAGGAGGGACGGTGGGTAGAATGTTAGGCATGCGGGGGCCAGGGATGTTCTTTAAACCTCACGTCACTGTACACGGAGAGACAGTTCAGAGTGAACTACTTGAATAGCACACCTGTGCAGGGCAGGACGGAGAATGGACAAAAGCAGTTTCTTCCCTGTGGCCTGGCTCCCCCACTACCCAGAACCATCCAGGCGGCCATCAGAAGTCACAGGCATTAGAATCACCTGTAGGGACCTAAAGCCAAAAATGATGGGCCTAGAAATCTCCATTTTCAACTCATCCCCTAGGTGTTTTTTTTTTAAATCATACTGTTAACAGCCTTTAATGTATGAAATCTGAATCCTGTCAGTGATATATACATACCTAGATAAACTTCTTGGGTCAAAGTTGTGGCTAAATTCATTCTTAAGTTCAGGGTTCCAAGTGGCTGGGCCAGTTCTCTGAAACCTCAACAGCCTTTCCTCACAATATTCATCACACTGGATTTTCATTACCAGCTTATCACTCTTGCACTAGACTGGGGTCCCCTTGAGAGCTGACGGGCACATTCATTTTGCTGTGAAGTAGGTACCAAATTATTTGATACATGAGTAATGGACATGTTTCTATTCAAAATTATTGAGTATTTGAAAATCCTCACAAAGAAACGGACACCAAGGCTTTTGAGATGTAGCCTGTGCTAAATCATTTTTAAGACTTGGAGCTGAAGCATTTTAGTATAAAAAGCTGGTACCTCTATACTAGTAAGAACTTCAACTTCATCATCTGTTTAGCTTTGCCTTCTAGAAAAATCTTCAGCTTTATCCACTCTGGCTGCTATGTTCGGAGATCTTCCAGTCTGGGTGACTTTGAGAGCATCATTTGCAGGTGAGCAGCTCGGCCTTCTCCTGTAGTGCTGGTAGTAGGCCTTATGCCTGTGTTCGTGTTACTTCCTGTTTTGTCATTTGAGGTCCAGACCCACCCCTGTGGTGGCCACTACCGAAAGCAGATTTTGGTAGACTTTGAAAAGCTTGTTTTGCCAGAGGCTCCACGTGCTTCAGGGTTTGCAAGACGTAAGGTTCTACAAGTTTCCCCATGCCAGAGGGCAGTCTAGCTGCTACCGTGGCCGTGGCCCTGGCTCGGCCTCACTGCCCTGAGAGCGCACTTCATCCCAGCCCAGGGGCCACCAACTCCACCCCTCTACCGGAAGGTGACAAGGCCACCACCACAGACACAGGTGCTCCCCGCCCCCCCCCCCCCCCCCCCCCACGCAGCTGCTCTGTAGCTTTAGGGGATTGGCGGAGCCAGTGTTTCTCAGGTTTTAGCATTTCACAAACCAGTGAAATTACAAAAAGAATCTTCTGGACTCCTGTTGATTTGTCAATCTATTTTGTAAAGTACAACGAAGAGATGGCTCTCTCCTTTCACCTTTGCCCCCATTCCATAAAACATGACACACATCTGGCTGGCTCTGTCCATGGTCTTTACTGTCCAGTTTGCTCAGAAAGGTGCACACATCATCATGGTCCTGTACCTGGGAGCCTCAAGGGGCTATGGGCAGGACCCTGGGGTGAATGAGGGATCCAAGAGACAAAGCTTATCAGAGAAAAACATGGGTCTTACGTTCTTTTATTTTATATATATATGCAATATACTTATATGCAAATCTGTTTTATGTACAATAATTGGTTCTATCAAATAATCATACCGCAGCCTTCTATTGGTAATCTTCCCCAAGGTAGTTTTAGGTGAAATTAGATATTTGTGCACTTCGTGGACTACCGCACTTGAGCCTTCGTGACTAATTTCAGTTTTGAGGCCAAGCATACAAATCAAAATATAAACAGGGTTAAAGCGCTAAGAGTGGGCTGAAAGAAAGCACAGGACTTGGAATGAGTAAACTGTGTATTTTGCTTGCATGGCAGCCCCCAGGTAACCAGCAAGCGCTATGCGTGTCTCAGAGCTCCTTTACTATAGCGTGGGGGGGCTTTTGAACATCTGTAGTGATTGCGCGGCAGGTGGACAGACAGCAGGTCTGACCTGCTGGATGCTTTGCTGAGGGCTCACTGCTTCTCCGCCTCTCCTTTCTTGGGTTCTTGTTTCAGTTTGTAATCCGCTAGGGCAGCCCTGATTGCATCTTCAGCCAGCACTGGAAGGAGCACAAGGAAAGACAGTTTGTAGACTGTACAGAGAGGGTCTTGGGAATCGCATCTTTAAGAGCTGGAGGGCAGTGGTGCTGAGAAGGGCTTACCAGAGCCCCCCAGCCATAGTGCTGGGGGTCAGGAGCAGGCCTGGAAAGCCAGTCAGCTGTTTCCTGAGCCCAATTACTCCTGCCTGTGGCTTAGGAGGCAGACTAGGGTTTAAATACCTGGGATTCTAGGCTAGTCCCTCAGCCTCCTGGAATCCCCTTTCTGTTCTATAAAACTGGGACTTTTTTTTTTTTTTTAAGATTTTATTTATTTATTTGAGAGAGAATGAGAGACAGAGAGCACGAGAGGGACAGGGCAGAGGGGGAAGCAGACCCCCACACTGAGCAGGGAGCCCGATGTGGGACTCGATCCCGGGACTCCAGGATCATGACCTGAGCCGAAGGCAGTCGCTTAACCGACTGAGCCACCCAGGCGCCCAAAACTGGGACATTCTTTCCTTGCTGGGATAGTGTGAGGGCTTAATAAAGTGACATGTCGGAAGGCCACAAGAGTGGTTAGTTAGTTCTCATCTGCTCACACGGAAGTCAGGAATAAATGTAGTGAATGCTATTTGAGCAAGCTGCCATAACGTAGGTCATGCCACTCTGTTGACAGGTGGCATCTGCCACATCCTCCTTAGGGATCCCAAATTCGAAAACTCTTACTTTGGAGTCAATATGAAAATGAGGCTATATGGGAAAATAAAAGTAAGCAAGCGGCAGAGAGCAGTAGCTAAAGGCTGCAGTGCCCCAGAAGGCCAAACGAAAAGGCTGGGGGTTTCTGAAAATGTTGACAAGCTATGGCCTTTATTTCTGGGTACTTGGAATCCCAGCTCAGGTGGAAAGAACTCGGGTCTTAGCAGACTTCCTGACGACTGTGTTAGCACGTCCCTGCCCCTCAGTTCCCCTGTGAGTCTTACTCTGGCAAGAGGCCTGGCTCTCTGCTGATTTTTAACTAATTTGGTCAGTAAGTTAAGGCTACTGTTTCTCATTCCCTCCTTCCCCTAGAAGGTTGAGAGAAGATGGAAAAAGCTTTAGATTTAAGACAGAGACTGAACTGGAACGCCAAGTGTAAGGCCTAAGGCACCTGGGCTTTCTCTTAGGACAGCATACAGGGGACTGTTGCACGACGGGGCTTAGTCACTCCATACGCACGTACACACGCAGGCAGACTGATACACGTAACTGCACCTGGGAAGGGAGTGGTAACACATGCGACAGATAGGATTATGGCAGAAGCTGAACTGTGCGGGAACAGCACAGATTCTGGAATCAAAGATTGGGGCGTAGGGCCTGGCTTTCCCACTTAGAAGCCATGTGACTGGGGTGCTTTAAGCTGAGCCCTGCTTTCCTGGTAAGAGGGAGAGATGATGACACCGTCTGTGGACTAGAGGACAATTCTGAGGCTTAGAAATGATACCACAAAGTGCTCGCCTGATGCCCAGCACACACCACCTCCTGTAAGACCCTCCTGGAGATAGGTTGTGAGACCCAGGGGCTTTAACCATCTGAGGGTTATGGACTCCGCGACCAAACGATTTGCCATTACTCTGCACAAATGCCAGTTGATGCCATTACAAAATTACTCCCAACTGTGCAAGCTCGTTGGCATTTTGGAGCAGAGACTTACTGGAGCAGTGCAGTTTCACGGGGGGAAGACAGAGCTCCTTGGCGATGTCCGTGTTCTTGATGGTCAAGGCTTCCTCCACCTGAGAGGCATATGTGAGAAAACAGTAGTTTTAGTGATGCTCTAGCATGAGGAACAGGCAATAAACAAGGAAGGCCATAGAGGTCCTGAGGACAGGGTGGTGGGGGATGACTTTCCATTTAACAACCCCAAAGGACGCTCACTCGTGCGTCAAGGCTGCAGCTGGGACTGTCCAGTATGGAGTATACACACTCCACCACTTGGCTGGGTAAGCAAGGCCGGCAGAGACACTTCTACAAGCCAGCCAGTGAGACGTCTCTTAGGGGTCTGCTTGAGGCCAGCGACAGGAGTCTCTCTTTAAATTTAAAAGCAGTGGTTTCCTATTCTGGTTTTGTGAGCATCAGCTTCACCGATGTCCTTGTTTAGAATAAATCCCTTCAACTAGAAGTGCTGACTGGTGTCAGGGCGGTCAGAGAGATGGCAAGGAGGCCAGTGGCACTCCAGCACTTGGCAGTGGCACAGACCGGTCTTGGGATCATCCTCTGCCCAAAAGAGAATCTGTCTGGTTGAAACAGACCAAAAAGGATGCCTGAGTTTGCTCGAGTGCCCAAGGGCATGGGAGGCAGACGCACGTGGAGCGGAGCCCTGCTGCTGCCTTAAGGAAAGCCGGGGTTCCCCATCTGTCCCCCAGTTTCTCAATTCTGACTTCAAGGGTAAGGCTTCACGTTCTGTTCCTAGTAACTCAGATGGGAGGACCTCAAGGTCAAAGAAAGGCCCTCTTCCTCCACTTTCTGATCACAACTCAAAGGCCAGATTCTGGGAGCACAGGTACCTTGTCTCACTTCCCCTTTTCCCTGAGGATAGGTCTTAATAGATCACTTCAGAGGCACCTCCTCCAGATCAGGTTAGGTCTGTGCTCGCCGGAGAAGCTCACCAGCCAGAAGGCCCAGAGCCACAGGAAGCAGGGGGCACAAGGCATTGCTGTAGAGCTGCCCAGCTCCCCAAGCACACACCTCTGTGACTCAGCTCCCTGAACTTGGTCCCTTGGGGCTGCAAAGATAAGCAGCCCTGTATTTTCGCTTTTCCAAGAGGTTTTAATGACTGGATTTTAGAAACTCCAGCTCTTCACTGGGTTTGGGACCTTCTACCTCTGCAGCTGCTGGGAAAGAGGCTTTGGCAGAGAACAGAACAGAAAAGATGCTCCAGCTCCTCGCATTTCCACCCTCAGAGGGTCTGCCAATGAGCCACCTAGATCACTGTTCTGATTTATTTGTTCACTTTGCCTCTATCTTTGCGGTTTTTGATTCTTTAATTCCTCTTTTAGCACAGGCTAGTTTGTTATTTCATGAATCCTTACAAGCCACCTGCAATCCTTCCTGAAACATGATGGAAGGAAAAATAAGAACACAAACCACAGTACAACCTCTCCCACCCTTAGACTCCTAAGAAATTTTAATCAGCAAACTTGGAGAAAGCCATAGATTTCTTTATACAGAGGGAGAGGTGAAGATTTTTTTTCTATTTAATTAAAATCAAAACTAAACAGAGGTGCCTGGGTGGTTCAGTTGGTGAAGCATCCAACTCTTGATTTTGGCTCAGTCACCATCTCAAGGTTATGAGATTGAGTCCTGCCTCGGGCTCTGTACTGGGTGTGGAGCCTGCTTCTGACTCTCTCCCTCTGCCCCTCCTCCTCCTCTAAAAACAAAAACAAACAAAAAAACCCTAACAAAACACCACCCAAATCCCCAAACAAAAATGATCGACAAAAACCCCCCAAATAAGAAACACTTAACAAAATTATCCATAATCCCCAATGTGGAGAATTTAATCAAAACCTGAGGAGAAATTTAAAAAATTCTTAGAATATTTTGAAAAAAATCAGCTCCCCATAACTAGACCCTTCTCTTAACTCAGAGGCAGGTTTGTCAGGAATGTGATTTAATTCTGTCAATCTGCAAGCAACCTTACCGTCTTCCCTTTTACCCATTCAGTGGCTAACGAGCTGGAGGCAATAGCAGACCCACAGCCAAACGTCTTAAACCTGGCGTCCACAATCTTCCCCTTTTCATCCACTTGAATCTAGAAAAGAAAGAGGAGTTAAGCAGTGGTTCCTGGCACTGCCCCGTAGAACCTGCATTTATGGGGTTCACTGGGGCTCTCCCCAAGGGCTTTGGTCTTGCTTTCCACACCCTAAGTTTTAACATTACTGAATTTGCTTTGTCACAAAGGGCTCGGTGATGAAGTGTTAAATGTAGGAATGATCATCAGAATGATACAGGCCTACCCGGTAAAGATAAGCTGAAAAATACGCGCCCCCCCCCCCTTTTATTTTGCAACCCTAGTCTGCTTTTTGGCTATGAAGTTCTGCTCCTAGCTGCTCTGTCAATCTGCATCTTTAAATGCTGGGAGAGTCTGCAATAAAGGTCTCTGGTTAGTGCTTTTTAGTTTGGCATGAAATGACATCTAGTGGTTTCCTCCTGCCTTGTTTCTGTTTTCCAAGATAGGCATGAAGACCTCTGGCAAGCTGCCTCCTCACCACAATGAAGTAGATGTGGACAAAGCTACGGTTTACTCAAAGCGCCAGTCACTACCTTTGTGTTGTTTCCAATTTGGGGGAGGCTTGACATGTGGCATTTCCTGTCTCACTGGGGATTCCTAACTAAATGGTTGTGGTTTTCCTTTGATCAGTAAAATTCACAAAACTTTCTACTTAGCTGAAGTTGGAATTTAAGCTGATAGTTGAGTAGAAAAGTGACACCAGAAGGGGCCAGCACAGTGTACAAGAGAACTACTGCCCTAATAATTGTTAACTTCGAACCATGTCATCATCTCACAAGAATCCATACAGAGCCCAAGTGGAAAGCTGTGCGTGCAAATGCTTTGTAAACAACGAAGCACCGTATGAGCAATGGGGTCACTGTCATTACCATCAAAGATAAAAACCAGTGGTACCTGCAATTTCATTACATCACCACATGCTGGAGCCCCCACCAATCCAGTTCCAACATTTTTTGATGTCTTGTCAAGGGACCCCACGTTTCTAGGATTTTCATAATGATCAACAACCTGAAATGAGAAGGTTAAGAGAAATCTATGATCACCCTTTTTTGTTACTGGTCTCCCCAACCTGACGGTAAGCTCCTTGAAGTCAGCAAGCTGAACCTGGCAGGCAGCCACTAAGCATCAAACTTCACCTGGGGAGGAAGGCTTACACTTATGTCAATGGGACTTTATGACCCAATCTTTGTGTACCTCCAACTACCTTCAGAGATTTGAGTTACTGGAGAAAAATCAGCAAAGTCATGTCTTAAATCCATAGTTTTTTTGTTTTTGTTTTAAAGAACTTATTTGAGAGAGAGTGAGCAAGAGAAAAAGCATAAATGGGGGGGCGGGGCAGAGAGAGAGAGAGAGAAGCAGACTCCCCGATGAGCTGGGAGCCCGACTTGGGGCTCTATCCTAGAACCCTGGGATCAGGACCCCGGCTGAAGGCAGACGCTTAACTGACTGGGCCACCCAAGCGCCCCTCCATAGGGTTTTTGATCACAAATAATTACCTGATCTTTACCACCTAAGTCACCAGATTTAGGCTCAAATAACATTTCTGGTATTTCCAAATAAATCCATCCTCAAAGGATGATTAGTATTAAGAATTTTAAAAATAAGTATGGTCCAGTAATCAAAGGATTTCCCGGAAGCCTCAAGGAGAATGTTACACGAGGAACAATGCTATGGAATGTGTCCATTTGTGTATGATAGAACAGTAACTGTCCCATTACTCGATTTCAAGGGCCAAAAATCTCTCTGGTGGAGCAGCGCACCCTGGTGGCTGAAAAGCTGCCAGCCCGCGTTCGTCGAGCGCGTATTGTCAACAAAACACACCCCTACGCGGGGGAGGAGGAAAGTCCCAGGCAGACGCAGAAGCCAGAACAGAATAGCTACCTATTCAAACTGGCACACAGAGGGCTTTACTGTAACCTTGAGACTTGTTTACTAGTTAGTCTAAGTCTCCGATCTTCCAGTTTCTTTTACCCACTTACCCGACCACGGATTTTGACTCCAAGCGAAGGACCTACAAGATAGTACTTCGTCTGGATTTTTTGCCCCATGTTGATTCTTTAGTCGTTTCCGAGTGGGAACTTTATGCCCTCGGAAGGCAAGGGCTGCAAACTATGCACCTATCCCTACTCCCCAAAGCCTTCCCCCGCTCCCCGGCAAAAAAAAAAAAAAAAAAAAAAACAGGACAAAATTAAAACATTATGACTGTTGATTACGTGTCTGATTACATTCGGAGGCTGAGTTCCTACAACAGTAACTGCACCGTAAATGATCTCATGTGCTGGGCACCATGCCGAGAACTCCACTCTCGTGTAGGGAAATGCTAAGAACCCATTCTACAAATGGGGAAAACAGGTTCAGCGCAGAGCAGGGACTTGCCCAAGGTCATTTGGATAGGGCAATGGCCTCGCTGAAGCCGGAGCCCGCGCCAGTGTGCGTCTGTCCCTGGAGTCAGGCTGGCAGGTCATAACAAGGCCCTCCTTCCTGGACTGTTGGGTTTTGAGGCACGAAATCACAGCCAGCGGCGGGGCCCACGCGCAGCGGTTAGTTTTATCTGCGTAGCGAAGGAAACCTAGTCCAGTCAGAGTCGAGTGAGGGTGTGGCCCCTACCCCCTCGTCTCCAGATCGGGCCTCCGCTGACCGCCGGCATACCTGGGTCCTTTCCGCGGTACTCGCCCTCCCGCCCCCTTGCCAGTGAGGGTCCCGCGCATCCCCTCATCTGCCGCTACCTTCTTGTGATAGAGCCGGGCCGGAGCCGACAGCTCCCGGGCAGGCAGGCGGGGGCTCCGCAGCAGCAGGGCCGACGCCGCCCGCCTCAAACGAGCTCCTCCAGCCGCCGCCATCTTCCGGGCTTGCGTCTGCGCAGGCCGAGCGCGAGCCGGAAGGGTGGAACGCGCCCGCGAGTCGGCTCTCGGCTTGGAGCGCGCACCCTTTTACGTCACCGCGACTTCGCGCCTGCGCCCTTCCCCATCGTGCGCGTGTCTGCCTTCGGTCCTGTCTTTACCACGCCCCTCCGGGGTGGGCGGGACGCTGAACTAAAAGACTGAAGTTGGAGGGTTTGTTCGGAGTGCAGGGTTTGGATCCGAGGGGGCCTCGGGCGGGAGTCGGGGCCCAAGTTTGCGTTCACAAAGCCCACCGCCGGAATGCGGCATAGCGGATCAACCAGTCTACTTTTCTCAATCCGATTTTGCAGCTTAGCAAGTTGAGGGTCAGAGAGGTTTAGTAACTTGCCCAAGTCTGTCCCAGACAGACTGATTTGGGATTTAAGCAAGGAAATCCTGAGTTAGAATCCGGATTCTGCTCCTTCCTGGCTGTGTGGCCCTGGGCGAATGACATCATCTCTTTAAGCCTTGATCCTCGCTTTTGTACTAATTCAAGGATAATTCATTCATTGAGCAAGTGTCATGTGTCAAGGCGCTATACTAGGCTTTGGGGGGTCCAACAGAAAGATAAACACTAATTCCTTACATAATTAACCTGGCTAATGAGGGGAAAAGGCAACAAGTAAACAATATTTTCCTACCTCAAAAATGGGAGCTTAACTGAGGAAACGAACAGGCCATACCCCGATTTTTTTTTTTTAAAGTATGTATGTATATGTCTGCATGTATTTCTTTTCATAAAGCAGCAAACTAACATTTACATGACAATGGCTGGAAATGAAGAGTTTCTAACTAAACGCTTAGTAATGGAATTTATTAATATTGGTTCGCAGAATATGATTTTATAAAAAGCAGAAAACACACCTGTATTTAACGCTTCCTTGGGCACCAGGTATTACATAAAGGGAGGGAATCTCTTAGGGAAATAGGTTTTTCTCGGGAATGGTGCAGTCGATCCTTCCCCGGGGACTTGGAGTTTTCTCTGCGTTTGAGGCTCAGTTGCTGGGGAGACTGAACCACGCGCCAGGTCGTGTTAGGCGGTAAGGAGGGCGTTTACTCCGATTCCTTTTGACCTTCTCAAGATGGCGCCAAACCCTTCACTTCAATCATCACTCCCTGACTTCCTCTACGGCCTCCACTTCCTGTGCAAAGACCCAACATCTGCCCGAAGTTGCGACGGAACACATGCCGTGTTGGGGAGTTCTTATTCTGAGAGAACTTTTACACCTATGTAAGAGCAATACGAAAAGCTTCATACATTGCGAGATGTTCCCGTCATTCGAGGCTCGCAGGTTCTCTTTCGGTAGCAGGGAGAGCGGGGTTTGATCAGGCGCACGCCGCGGGCAGCTTCTACTTCAGCGGGTCTTCGGCGGCCGCGAGAAGACCCGGGAGTCACTGCAAGCGCAAGATGGCGACGGCGGCCGCGGCATCGACTTCAGAAGCGGAGGCCGAGCCCAAGGCCGGGCCCACCGCAGAGGGCGAGGAGGATGACGTTAAGACGGCTCGGACGAGGAGGAAGGTGTTATCGCGGGCCGTGGCCGCTGCGACGTACAAGGCCGTGGAGCCGGGGTGGGACCAGCCGGAGGAAGGTGCGAGTGAGAGCGATGGGGACGAGGAGTACGCCATGGCTTCCTCCGCGGAGAGCTCCCCCGGGGAGTACGAATGGGAGTATGACGAAGAGGAGGAGAAGAACCAGCTGGAAATCGAGCGGCTGGAGGAGCAGGTGCGTCCGGGGCTGGGCGGCGGGCTCTTTCTCTCGGGTTCCCAGGCGCCGGCCCTCCTCCCCGGTCTCCGGCGATAATCAAGCCGCCGAGGCCGCAAACCCGCTATTAATCGCCACGGCTCCCGTCTCTTGAGCGTTACCGCTTGCCGGGTGCTTTGCAGGCGTTATCCCATTGAACGCCCGCGGCGACCCGGTGAAGGAAGTGGAGTATTCCCCGTTTTACGGGAGGAAATTGAGGCTCCTCGTGGAGGGAATTCTGTAGCTTGCTGAAGATTACGCTTCTGCAAGTGGCGAACCAGGCCTTGAACTCAAACGACTCCAGAGCTCCCGTTCTTAACCACACCGTTAAACTGTGGTCAGCAACAGCAATAAAATTGTACTCGTGGGAGAGAGGGTTTTTTTTTTCTTTTTTCTTTTCGGTAGCGATGCCCACAATGATGAACTACGGTGTGATAGACAAAGCAATGACGATGATGATAGAAACGGGACGGTAGAAATTCAGCGTCTGGAGGCTGAGGCCCCGGTTGTAGCTAGTCCATGCTTGTGTGAGCTTAGGCAAATTTCTTATCTTCTCTGAGCCTCCGCTTTCTCACCTGTAAATTGGGAGCAACAATTTCTGCATCGTGTGGTTGTCGTAACAGTAATTAATAGCCCAGTGCCTGGCATGTCTTGGTACCGTGATTTCTAAATTGTAACTCCTGTGTAACCCAGGGTCTCAGCATTAGGATAATTTGAGAGAAGGTTAATAAAGGGACTACTGTGTTTATTGAAGTGTGGTCAGAGAGATCAGGAGGTGCAGTACCTCAGGGCTAGTGACCGCAGGACATTGTGTCCACCTTTAGGCCCAAAGAGATGAGGGGAGAAAGCCGACCAGTTTCTGAATAGTTGTGTGGAGAGGGCACCTGAGAGCAGGTGAGACCTTTAGTCAGGGGCTGCAGCCCTAGCTTCCCATCAGGGATTGGGGTGGGGGAGGAATACCCTGATTTCTCTTCTTCTCTTCAGACTTCTTCTGGTGCCCTTAGTGAGGCAAATCCTGTTGGAAGCAAGAGAGCCAGAGACCCCCACGGATGTGGCCCACACAGGAGGGCACAGAACAGGGAGAAGAGGGGGAAGTAGAATTGGGAGGGCAGGGTCCCTGGATGGTTCAGTCGGTTAAGCGTCTGCCTTTTGCTCAGGTCATGATCCCAGAGTCCTGGGATGGAGTCCTGCCTTGGGTTCCCTGCTCAGCAGGGAGCCTCCTCCCTCTATCCCTCCTCCATGCGCTCTCTCTCTCTCTCTCACTGTCTTGCAAAAATAAATAAAATCTTAAAAAAAAAAAAAAAGAATTGGAAGGGCAAAAAGAAATGGAGCACATTCTCGTTTTAGCGATGAGGAAACAGGCTCAGAACAGATGATGAAATAATTTGCTCAGAGTCACTCACAAGGGGAATTGAATTTATCAGGGTTGTCTGTGGACCAAAAGCCACACTGATATGAAATCACTTAGTGATGTGAAGTTGTTAATCTGCATTACTCACTTAACATTGCTGGATGTGAGATTCCTTATAATGTCATCTTTAGCAGTGATATTTTTGTTGTGAAATAGTGATGATATCTATCGGTATCGTTTGTTTCATTTGTCATCACATTTGAATGTCAAAGGAGCCCAGTTGGGGTAGGGAAGTGGTTACCTTTCCTGTTTTTTAGAAATAAGTACGCCAGTGTTCACTCAGTGTTTTATTCATTCAGAAAATGCAGTGTAATAATAGGGTGCCAGGCAGACTATGTCCCTGTCCGGATGGAAATCTGTGCTTCTGACTTCTAGCCTTGGGCTTCTCCACGAGCCATTAGCTCACTCTTCGGTGAGTCAGGGGAAATAAGGATTAGCTGTTTGAGCGGAAGGGGAAGCTTGGAAGCAGAAAGATTAAGGCCTTGTGAGGGTAACCAGCTAGTGAGAGAGCAGGATGGTGAGAGCAGAGGTCTCCTGGCTACTGGTGTTCTACAGTTGCCTGCCCTGCCTCAGGTCACAGAAGGTGGTTTGGAGCTCAGACAATGATGTGAATTGAAGAGCCTCTGGCTTTATCAAGCTCTTTGTCATGGGGTCTAGAGATTGATTTTTCCAATTTTTTCAAACCTCCCTCCTACCTCATCCTGATCCCATCGCCTAGTTCCTGCTGAAACTGCTCTTACGGTGGAGTGTAATGTTGGAAAACTTTTAGACAGGCCTGTGAAAAACTCAACCTTGTCATATTTGCAGATTGCAGTTCTCTGAGTGTATTTTATGGAAGCTTCAAGTTAGTCTGTCTGTCCATGTAACAAAAGCAAAGATTTCCCATTATTCGTGTTTGTGTCCTGAAACGAAAAGTGGCACCTCATGGTTATTCCAGCTCTCTGAGCCTGCCCTGTCCTAGGTGGTTGAAAGTAGGGTTGTAACAGTGCCTCCCTCACAGGGCTGTTGCGGAGCTTAAGCGACCTGCTGCTTACAAAGCTCCTGGCAGATTTGACACACAGTAGGTGCTATGCCATGGCCCGCTCTGTACTTTCCCCCAGCCTTCCCGTGATTGCAGGGGTGGTGTCTTTTGGACCAGGCCTCTTGTTGTTTCTTCACCACCGCTCCGGGCCTGGGTTGTGCTGTTAGGGGTCAGGAAATCAACACATCATTTTGTGCGTTGGCTGAGCCGCCTCTTTCTTTAAATCTTCCTTTGTTGTTATTGATGTTCTGAGACCAGAATAGACCAGTATATGTGCTCACTTGTTGGTGCTAAGCGAGCTCTGTTGAAATGTCTCTTAAATGCATCTCTGTGCATTTAATACACATGCCTTTGGAGCACCTCTTCTTATGTAGTGTCTTTATTATTTGGGCCTTCTTAGACATCAGAAATTTAGACCAAAAGCCGTCCTGGGAGGCAGTTTCTCTACTTCATTGACTTTTATACCTTTTTATTCTGACCTACAGATGGTATTCATGTAAGGGGCACTTGTATAGATATCAGTACACTAACAGGACTGTCCCACCCCACTTCATGCTCGAAAACCACATTCAGTCCCAGGTGAGTTGAGAGCAGTGGGTGACAGGGAGAGCCTCTGCCTCTTCTTCAAGAAAGTACATTTTGGGCAAACTTCACTTTTTTTTTTTTTTTTGAGAGAGAGAGAGAATGAGAGAGATCACATGAGAGGGGTTAGGGTTAGAGGGAGAAGCAGACTCCCTGCTGGGCAGGGAGCCCGACGCAGGACTCGATCCCGCGGATCATGACCTGAGCTGAAGGCAGTTGCTTAACCAACTGAGCCACCCAGGCGCCCTTTTTTAAAGATTTTATTTATTTA